GTGCTTTCATTGTAACTTGAGGCCCGCCCGAGCCCCGGTCGAGAGTTGGATGCAGAAATCCATGCCTTGGAAGGAGTTTCGTCTCTCAGTATAACATTCCCCTTGCGATTCTCTCCTTCCTGCGCCCCTCCCTCGTCGTCAGGGGCAAGCGTGTGCGCCCGCTCCATTCCCTGCAGGTTATGAATAGACAGCTGTGGAGCACGCGATGCGCGCTTAGACAACTCCACGGGTACAGGCGGTGGAAGGCTACTTTATATGAACTTCAAACTGCCCAGGCGGCGCGGGCATCGACAGTGCCCAAGAGGCTCTGTGGCGCTTAACTGATTGCCAGCCTCCCCGTGCAGGGAGTCGCGAAGCCGCTTAGTAAATGCGCCCAAAGAAGGAATCGAACAGGACAAGGCGGTTTAGTAACCGCCCAAGGCCGTTCAATAAACGCGAAGTGTCCGGTCCGGGTGGTTTTCCACCCTGGACTCACGCAGCTGCGAAGCGTCCCGGCTCGGCTATAGGCCGACCGAACAATGTTCTAAGAACATTTCGTCGTTTCCACGACAAAATCTTAGAACATGTATGGCTGGGACTGTCTTGCTTTAACACATCGGGTTTATGTTCTAAGAACATCGCTTTGTTCTTAGAACATGCTGTGGTAGGCCTCTACGAATGCCGGGACGGTCGGTCCCTGCTCGGTTGACAGTGATGCGGCCAAGGCGTGGCCCGATGGGGGCCCCGTCGTGCCTCTCCAGGCCCGCCGCGCCGGGCGAAGACCCGCGCCAGCACGCGAGGGGCTCGGGCCGCGGCGTGTTGGGGAGGAGGAGGAGGAGGAGGAGGAGGAGGAGGAGGAGGAGGAGGAGGAGGAGGAGGAGGAGGAGGAGGAGGAGGAGGAGGGGGAAGAGGAGGACGGGGAGGAGGAGGACCAATTCCCCCTTCCTCCAACAAGGAGGCGTGCCGCCGAGCGCGTCTCCGCCGCGCCCGGGTCCGCGCCCTCCGCGGTCACGCCGCGCGCAGGGTCACCATGATCTGGCTGCCGGCCACCTCGCGGCGCTCGGGGCGCGGCGGGGGGGGGGGAGCCACGGGCCCTTCGGGACTCCTCCTGCCTCCTGGCTCCTGGCTCCTTGCTCCTCCTCCATCTCCTCGTCTCGTCCCTCCTCGTCCATACTCTCTGTCCCTCCTCCTCCTCCTCCTCCTCCTCCTTCTCCTCCCTCTCGTCCCTCTCCTCTCTCTCTCTCTCTCCCTCTGCTGCCCTCCTCCTTCCCCCTCTTCTTTCTTCTACCTCCTCATCGTCGCAGCCCTGGACGCAACAGGTCCCACGATGCTGAGACTCATCACGCAACAAACAACAAAGCAAACACAACATCTACTTGTGACGCAGCTTGGGCGGTCGGGTCGCAGGAAGTTCTGCCCATTTGTATGTGTGGGGGCTCAGCCCTCCCATGTCCTCCGAATCCTTTCGTTCGTCATCCTCCTCCTCCTCCTCTTCCTCCTCCCCCCCCTCCCAGATCCCCTCCTCCCCCTCCCTCTCCCCCTCCACGTGTCCACCTCCTCCTGCTGCTCATCCACCTCCTGCCTCTCCCGAGCGTTGATCCCCTGGTCTCTCCTTCCCCTTCTCCCCCCCTCCTCCATCCCACTTCTTTCTAAGTAACTCCCCCTTGCCGCGCCTCCAGACGTGTCGGGAGGGCGGGCCAGGCGTTTCGCCTAAGATTTCCCCTCCATGGTTCCAACGATTGAGACCGCAACGTGTTCAAGGATAGAGGGTGGTCATTTTCAAACTCGGGCTCTCGCCTTAGCGCAGCTCGCATTCGTCCTTTAAACAGTGTAACACGTTCAAGGATGGGGTCGGTTTCGAAATGCGGTTCTCGCCTTAATTCGCGCAGCAGACTTGTAAAGTTCGTAGCAGCTTCAATGATAAAGGATGGCCGTTGCCAAAACTGGGGCTCTCGCCTCAGCGCCGCGCGCAATCGTCTTCAACGTCTGCAGCATATTCGGGCTCGAGCTAAATAGTTGCTGTCGGGTTCGCTTTGTGTTCGTTTTCCTTCGTCCTGTCTTCGTGCTGCCTGTGCTGCGAAATTCACTCAGAACGAAGAGAAAACAGCCCACGAACTCGCCAAAGAAACCGTTTAGCTCGAGCCCTGCGGCAGATTAAATAATGGAGGGCGACCCCTTGTCAGCATGGGGCTCTCGCCGCAGCACCGCGCAAGGTCGTCTTTTGAAAACTAGCAGCAGGCATGTGGATAAGGGGGCGCGCTTGTGTTCCCGGCACGGGGCTCTCACCTTCGCGCCGCGCGCACTCGTGTCAAACATTGCAGCGATTCCGGCATCCGCATGAGACCTCCGCTGCAGGCATGGAGGGAAGCTCTCTCTTTTCAGGCGGCGATCGAAGACGGGCTTGCGCGAGATGACACAGCGACCCCACGCGGTGGCGCGCGCGGGCCACCAGCGCGGGCACGCCACAGTGGAGACGAGGGTGCTTACGCGCGACCTTACGCGGGCAACTTGCGCGCCAATCCCGGTGAAGACGACTCCGTTTTTCCACGTCTGGGAGGCCTGGGAATGGGCACCAACAATAATTCAGGGGGGTGCCTCCACAGGGGGAAGATGATCCTAGACTTCGGTGGTGGTGGTAATATGTCGGTCACCTGGAAGCCAGGATATTACCACCGTCACCGAGATCGGGATCTTCTTCCCTCGGCGGAGGCACAACGCCGAGAGTGGTGTCGGTGTGTGCCTCTAGGCCTGCGAGCGTCGCTCATGCGGCCGCGTCCACTTTGTAGCGCTGCCAACCGGCGGCGGCCACTGACACCCGTGCTGGCGGGCGTGCTCTGTGCCCCCCCCTTGGGGGCCCTCGGGAGCCCCTGGTGGGACCCCGAGGCTGGCCCCGTGGCCCGGCGGGGCCTCGTGTCGGCCATGGCCGCCGCTCCAATACCGAGCCCCCCGTGACGCGGATACACAGTGGACGATGCCATTTCAGAGCGGGGCTCGCGCTCGAGAGCTCCTCGAGGTCCGTGGCCAGAAGCGTACACTGGTACAGCAATTGCACGTACTGGGCTGTCATTTGTCAAAAAGGGGGCTTCGCTGGATACTGCGTTGAACTGCTGTGTGCTGACACATGATCGCGCTCCTCGTTATGCCCTGAGATGGTGCACGGAGGTATGTTTTCAAAACGGGGCTATCGACTGAGTGGCAGGCCCAGTGGGTGGCATGCCCAGGTATGTCAAAAGGGCACTACATCTAGTGATAAGGAGGGTCTGTAGGGACTTCGGAGGAGGGGGCTTGGGAAAAGAGGGTATTGCAGCATCGGCGATGCATTATGGGTTTGCCCGCCCCGCCCAGAAAGGAAAGGAGGGCGGGGATTGGGGAACAAACGATGACATAAACATCAGAACTCGGAGGTCCGCTCGGATTTCTCGCATCGGAGCTGGACCCCCCTCCCTGGCGCGCAGAGCGCATCAGGGGCGGCGCCGTCCAGGGTTTCCAGAGCGCTGATCCGAGAAGTCTGCGCGGACCTCCAAGTTTTTGTATTTACACGTCAGTCGGAAGAAGTACGTAAAAAACGTGAGGTAGGAAGGCGGATCGAGTAGATTGGGTTGGGGCTCTCCTGGAGAGTAACAAAACACAGCAAGAGCACATCGGTTCTGGAAGTAGGGAGGCGCGTGAGGTAGATCGGGGTCTGGGAATCTAGAAAAATGCCTACTTTCAACGACCAGCGTGTGTATCATTCTCTGTTCCCCGAGGGGAGAGGGCGGCGCGCTTCTTGGGCGCGAGCGCGCAGCCCCAGCGCGCGCCACCGTGGACGCCCTCCCCGGGCGGTGGCCCGCTACCCGCGAGCGGGCAGGATCGGGAAACGCCAACTGGGCGACTATAAAAAACGGGTCTTACGCGAGATGCTATAGCGACCTTATGCCGAAGCTTGCGCGGGCCGCCAGCGCGGCACGCTACGCTGCAAGCGAGGGCGCTTACGCGCGACCTTACGCGGGGAGCTTATACGCGAATGTCGGCGCATTCGGACCCGATTTTTCTTGCGTCGCTCAACTAACCACCTCACCGATCCTTGCCCAGCCCTGGTCGGGTGCTGCCAGGAGTGTCCCTGGCCTTAAGTCGGGCCTGTCCTCCTACAGGGGGATTTTGGAAGAATAATAAAAAATACTAAAAAAACGTACCCCCAAGTGGTCAAAAAATGCTCCCAAAGTCGTCCCCTGACTTTTGTTTGGCTATTTTGGAATATTCCTCCTGTAGAGGACGTGCCCGACTCAACCCTGGCCCCACGTGTCCCCAGGATTTCCACGGAGGCCCCCGCGGCCCCCAGAGCACCCCCCACGAGGCCCTGAGGGCCCAAGAGGCCCCACAATGTGGAGCGGGGGCACCTTGGGCCAGGGGCACCTTCGGTGGCAACTCATGGGAGCCTCCCATACCACCTTGTCGGCTCTTGCGAATCGACGCGAAGGTCGACGCTAATCGAGGCTAAATCGACGCTAGCCGACGCTAAGTCGGCGCCACCTCATCGACTCCAAGGCGCGAACAGACGCTAGAGACGGAATTGAGAGGGTATACCTAGGTCAGGCATGTCCCCCTACAGGGCAGATTGTCGACGAAAAATTAGAATTACCCCAAACATGCTGAAACATGTCAAACAAAAAACTACTAGAGAAATCGTCCCCTGACTTTTTGTTTGACTGTCTTTGAATACTCCTCCTGCAGAAGGACGTGCCCGACTTGAGGGTGTACCAGGCTCCCGTGATCTGCTGCCGAAGGCACCTTTGGCATCCTCGGATCCTGGGCCCAGGATCGGTACGCACGCCTCCACCGCCAGGGAGAATGCGGTATACACACAATACCGGCCCTGGGCTTATGTTGTTCCCATCCCACTTGAAGACCGCATCCCAGAAATAACTTCGAGCACCCAGAAGAGTGTCAAAAGAGTGTCGAAACAGTGTCGAAACGGTGTCGGGCGAGTGTCTCCCAGGGCCCGACACGTGAAAACCCTGGAATTTCGGTACGTTTTGGGCGCTCGAAATTCTTCTTGGCGATCAAAGCTAAAGTAGGTTGGAGCATCATAGCCCTGGACACAGGATGGGGCCCGGGCAAGGCTCGGCGAGGTGGCCCAGTGGGCGGTCTCCCCACCAGGGCAGCCCATGCTGTCGAATTCGGAGCGCCGAAGACCGGCGGCGCGCACAACTCGCCATCACTCGGAGGTCCATTCCCCGTGCACTCTGTGGGTTTCGTGCGTATGTCTGGTCCTCGCAAGAAAAAACTGCACACGTCCGACCGATGCCAAGACAAGGGCGTACGGGGGAGGGGGGAAGGCTTCTTACAAGGAGGCTGCATCTTAGAAGGCGCCAGCGCCGGCCTTACATCTACAAACAGGGTCTTACGTCTACATCTACAGGCATGGGTGCTTCCGAGAAGCCTTGCCCCCTCCCCCTGAGTACCCCCCTCGATCTTCTCCACCAAGCGCCAACCAGCGCGGGCGCGACGCGCGCGCGCGCCCGCTCGGGCGCGCGCGGAGGGCGACAGAGACACAGGAATCCGGCGACTCCACCTTGTCGAGGCCGTCTCCGCGGGCCAGACTGGGGGGGGGGATACCAAGCGAGGGGGTCCACGAGTCGGCCGCATGCAGCTGGCTTTCCCTGTGTTTGTGGGCGGTGGGCGCCCTGGAGAGCGTGCTGTTTTTACCGTCTGCGATGGCGGCCGTAGCCAGCCCTGGCCGCGCCCCCGCGCCCCCCCCAGGCAACGTCACGACTCGTGCTGACCTCCGCGTGGGCTTTGGTTATTTTTAGAGCCTGTGTTGCCTGTTCTTGATCTAATTCGAGCAAGTTTACTTGCATGGCGTTCGCCCCCCCCTCCCACCCCACCCACCCACCACCCACCCCCTCGCCCCTCTTCAAACGAATGCTAGCGTGCAAGTGCCTTTCGACTTGCGTGTTTTCCGCACGTGCAAGTCGTTTGCTAGGGGCCTCCTAAATGGGGTCCGGGTAGATGGGGTCGGAAGATCTCGCCGCATCGCCGATACATCGGCGATGCATCGGCCATGCACTGGCGACGTCGGCGATACATCCGCGACGTCGACGTGAAGCAAATCGGGCTCCGCATCGAGCAGCATCGGCGATGCGGCGCGATTCTCCGACACCATGTACTACGACCCCATCTAGAAGGCCTAGATTTGCGGCTTGCTTCAGGTTCAGGTCCCCCCCCGTCCATGCATGTAAACCTGCTGGGGTCAACCACAAAAAAGCCATTAGACATCCCTGGGCGGCGCAGGTGCGAAACGTGACGTGTTACTGCCGCCCCCTGGCCCCCCGCCCTCCGCCTCCCCCCCCCGCACCCCCGCAACGCCTCTTATCTGAAGGGGCCCTGGGACACACAATATTCTGGGTTTTTTTGTCTTCCCCCTCACTTCCCATCTTTCCCAATATTTCCTGGGGAATCGACGATCCATTGTGTCTGTGTGTGTTTTTCCCCTCCTGATTATCGCCTGGGAATGCAACGAAACGCTCTCCTGGCAGGCCTCGGGGGGCAGACCCAGCCGCGGCGACGAGAAACCTCCCAGCGGCACCCGAAATCGAGTGGGCGATGACTACAGCATTGACTGATCCCAAGTTTGATCTTCTCGCTGAATCTGCGAAAGCGTACGTATGATGTTCGTAGATCTACGAATCTGGTACACACTTCCCGCATATTCTACGAACGGATCGATTTTGGGGTAAACCAATTCTGTAGTCGATACCCTGTCCCGCTGGCCCCCCCCCCCGCATTTTGAAGGGTTGCTTTGTTGGTGCATGTTCCGGCGGTTCGGAGAGGGGGGCTTCGGGATCTCCTCGGCGTAGTGCTCCAGCCCCCTCGCGTACGGCGCCCCCTGTTTTCCCTCGGCGTCTTCCTCCTCCGAGGTACATTCCATAGGAATCTCCTCGGCGCAGTGCGCTACCTCCTTAGCATGTGGCGTGCTGCTGTCAGCTGGGATTCTCTCCCTCCTCAGCAGCGGATGAGCGGTCTGGGTTGTTGCGGATCAGCGGCACCCTGAGAAACTCCAACAGAAGGCGCCGGCGGTGAATGCCTGTTTACTCACTGCGCCAAGCTGGCACCTCGCGGCAATCCTCAGATTGACCACCCAGGTCGAATCGCAGGAACCTGGGAGCCAAATGTCATGCCATACGTCCAGGTCGTCGGCCAGCCTGTTCTGGGATGTCTACGCACGCCGCTGGCACACGTCGCAGCAGCGGCCCGCTGGCTTCCCCGAGAGCCGCTCCCCGAAAAACTCCAGCAGCCTCGCCCGCCTGCACTCGAGGTCCTGTGTGGCAAGTTCCTGCAGGGCAGTCAGCGAGGCCATGGCCGCCTGAAGCGACGCGTCGCTCAACCTGCGGGCAAGAAAGAGATATATATATATATATATATATATATATACTAGAACCGTCGCGCGCTTCGCGCGCGCTCAAGTTCTAGCTCGGCTTGATATGCTAACTCATGTAATATCATGTTGGTCGCTTCTTGCGTCCAGGGACTCCCTTGGAGGCCCTGCGCAAGCCTCGAAATCGTATAAAGGGGAAATGCGGAAACGCAGAAGCTATTAATTCTCTTTAGGTATTCAACGAATTGGGGCCCTTCAAAAGTTTCCTGGGTTCTTTTTTGGGAGGTGAGGGGGGTCGTGGTCTGCTGTGCAAGAGTAGACCGGGGGCCAAACCTGAAAAAACAAATTGTGGGATTCCCATGTTTGTTCCAGCTCCTCCCTTCTGTTCGGGACAATTTTCTGTTTGTGCCTCGCGGGTTTTTTTAGCCGGGCCCCTCAGGGGTGTGGGATCTTCCGAACCCCCTGGGGGTTCTGGAGGCCTCAGGGAGGCCTGGAGAGCCGTCGGAAGGACGCCTCGGGCTGCGCGGGAGCGTGTTGGGCCGTTCTTCACGTTCTGGGGACTCCGTGAACTAGTCTTTTGGGCTGTCCTTAGGCGTGCTGGGGGCCCTCCGGGAAGCCGGGAGGCGCGGTACCGGCCAGATGTTCGGGGGTGTGTGGGATCTCCGAATAGGAGTCCACTTTGACAAAAAAGAAGAAGGAATTCTGGGAATTCCTTTTTTGTCCTCTCAAAATCCTCGATCTTCAAGGGTTGGAAGCGGGAAGACGTGAGAAGGCGGAAAACATTAGAAAAACCATTGGACATCAACGATTTTACCCTCTTTGGGCTCTCTCGGGACGGCTCTCGAAGCTCTCTTGGGTTGTTCTTGGAGCCTCGTCGGGGTCTTTTTGGGACCTCTCAGGGATCGGTGGTGTGTTAGGGGTTCTCTGGGGGGGGCCGGAGGCCTCTTGGAGGTCTCTGGAAGCCTCCTGCTCCCGCTCTTGGGTTCATCTTTGGCCTGTTCTGGGGTAGTCTGGGGCTGTCCTGGGCGCCTCTTCGGCAGTCTTGGAGCCTTCTTGGCCCGTCTTGTGGCCGTCCTGCGGGTCTCTTGGGTGGTCTCGGGGCGGTCTTGCGCGGCTCCTCGGCGTTCTTGGATCGCTGGAAGCTCGAAAACGCGAGAAGACCCAAAAACGCAAGAGATGTTGGCCTCTATGGGCCGTCCCTGGACGCCTCTCGGACCTCCCTTGGGGTCTCTTAGAGGCCACCTGGGAGCCTTGAGAGCCGTCGGAAGGCTGACTTGGGCTGCTTGGGAGCGTTTTGGGCAATTCTTTCGCATTCTGGGGGCTCCTGGGAGGCGTCTCGGGCCCTCCTGCAGCGCTGTGGAGGCTCCCCAGAAAGGCCGGGGAAGCGGTACTGGGAGCGTTCCCGAGATGTGGCGGGAGGTGTGGGACCCGGGGCCTGGGGGGGCAGTGTGTGTATATATATATATATATACATACATATACAGATACATATACATCTACATCTACATCTACATCTACACATACATGTACATGTCCATATACCTATACGCATATATGTACATTTACATTTACATTTACATATACATATACATATACATATACATATACATATACATATATATACATACATACACACATACATATACATATACATATACATATACATACACGTATACATATACGTATACATATACATTTACATATACATATACATACACATACACATACACATATACATACACATATACATATACATATACATACACATACACATACACATACACATACACATACACATACATACATACATACATACATACATTCATACAAGGCTGCATTGGCGCTTCGCGCCATGCACCTTGTTCCTGGAAACTTTGGAATGGTTGACCCGCGGCGCCATCCTTTTTTCCATTTTAGCCGCGGTCCGCTGGTTCGTACTTCGGAGAAGCGCAGGAAGAGCAGAAAGGGTGGCAATCAACCTGGGACGGGCCAAAACTGCGAGTTGGAGGCCGCGGGCGCATGGAATGGCGCATCTGAGTGGGGGCCGCGCGGGAAACAGCTGGAATCCCGGATTCGCAACCGAATTTCTGGAAAATTGGTTGCGAACCCGGGATTATGAGCATAATGCTGCTATTCTTCAAGGAATAACAGATGAAGGGGGCGCGGGGCGGCGGAGTGGTGCGATTTCGAGGGCGGCGGGTTTGACGGGCAGGGTGTTGGTCAGCTTGGCTCTTATGAGCCGTCGGGACCCCCTTTTTGAGGGCCGCTAAGCCGCCTTGGGGCGCTGAAGCCCTTCGAGTGGGTTCGCGGGGGTTCTCCTGGAGCCTTGTGGGGCGGTCTGACGATTGCTGTTGTGGGGCCGTTGCGCCCTCCTGCATCCGCTTGAGCAGCGCTCGCTTGCTCCATTTACGGAGGAGCGGAGGAGGAGGAGGCGGAGGAGGAGGAGGAGAAGGAACAGGGAGGAGGAGGAGGAGGAGGAGGAGGAGGAGGTGGCGGAGGAGGAGGAGCCTCCTCCTCCTTCTCCTCCTCCGCTTAAGCCAATGGAGAATTAACGATTTGAAAGTTTTTTGGAGCTTCGCCGGAGCTTCCCAGGGAGCCTCCCGAAGCTCTTTGGAGCTCTCTTGGGGCCTCCTTGGGCCCTTTCGGGGCGGGAGGCTCGTATTTTTAATCATCAGGTCCTCCCTGGGGCCCTTCTTTGGGCCGTCTCGGAGCGTTCGTGGGCCGTCTTGGACCGTCTTGGGGCGCGTCTTGGACCGTCTTGGGGCTTTTCAAGACGCTCTGGGAGCCCCTTGGGCCGTTGTGGAGCGGTTTTGGGTGTTTCTTGGGCGGTCTTGGAACGTGGGAAACCCGAAAAAGCGAGGACGCTGAAAATATTGAAAAACTGATGGGAAAGTAACAATTTGGGATGTTTTTGGAACGTCACCGAAACGTCTGTCTTAGGGGGCCTCCCGAGGCCCTTTGGAGCTCTCTTGGGGTTTCCTTGGGCTCTTTCGGGGCGGGAGGCTCGTATTTTCAGATTGTGGTCCCCCCTAGGGCTCCTCTTTGGGCCGTCTTGGAACGTTCGTGGGCCATCTCGGACGCGTCTTGGGCCGTCTTTTTTTGTTGACCTGCTCCGTCCACAGTCTGCAACGGAGACGGCCGAACGCGGTTCCACGGAGTCGAGGCGCGCACACGCTTGACATCGATTCAAACAAGCGGCAGCACGCCTGACTCGCGCGTGAAGCGCTGGCCACAAAATCTGGCACGCAACACAGCGCCCCCGCTGGCTGGCCGTCCCCTGCCAACTCCACCGATGCTCACCCACGACTCCTCTATTCACTATCGGCAAACTGCTGATCGCGGTGTCACGGAAAAAAGGCGCGCACACGCTTGCCATCGATTAAAACAAGCGGCAACGCGCCAAGCTTGACGACCATTCGGACGACCTGGCAGCACATTGTTTTGCAGGTGGGAGTAGGGAGAAGGGAGAGGAGGAGACCGCACAGATGCCACAAACGTCAGCATAACCGCACCATGAGGCGCCACAATGCGCGCGAGAAGCATCGACGAGAGCCATCGCTGCCCGTCGAGTCTGGTAAAGATACGTGGTCAACTCGGCCTCTGCTGGGCGCGGTCGGACCCGCATGGAGTTTTAACAATGATAGGCCAGAACGACTGACTCCACCTGTAACAACGTGGGAGCACCATTCAAACCGATCCTGGAAGAGACGTACCGCACAACAACTTCAAGAGTGCTCATACCCTTCAGGAGCCTTCAGGAGTGCGGCCTTGCGCCTTCAGGAGTGCTCATGCCGCTCAGCGCGCGGCGCATGTGGTCTGCCTGGGAGGCTGCGTGCTCCAATCGCGACTCCCAGTCAACAAATCGTGATCTGCTCCGTGGTCTTGCCGGATCGCATCGTCGAGAATGTTCCAGAAGCTTCGGAAGCAGCTCTCGGAAGTGGAACCGCCATGGTCGTGGACGCTCCCATTGTGTTCCGCGGTGCACACATCGTTGCACTCCTCTTGGGCCAGAACGTTGATTTCGCAACTGTCTCCACCAAACGAATGGCGAAGGAGCTCGCAAGCCTGGTATGAATCACCGCCCCAGAAGGTGCAGCCGAGCGGGCCGCGATAAATCACGACGCCCATATCGACAAAGGGGGAAGGGATAATGAGCTTGCTGTCCGTATTCAGTGTCAACGAGTCCGCCCACATGCCGACAGAATCGCGCGAGGCCAAGGGATACAGCATGCACGGCGCGGCCCATCCAGGTATGCTCACGACGTTATCCTCCAGATACACGGCGGCGTACTGACGAGCAAAGTCACGGTAACTGTCCCATGGCTGATCCACGAACGGGAGAGATTCTATCGCTGGCTCGCCCGCAATCTCGTGATGCGTTTCGATGTTGTGGAGCGGCAAGTGGCTCATCTCGTCAAACCGCCAGAAGAGCAAGGACTCGTACGCGACGCCAGAACGGAGGTGTTCGAGGACGGTCTCGGCGCCCAGCTTGGACGAGAGGAACTGCTCAGCCATGGGCGCATAGAATAAAACCTCCACCACGCGCTTCTTATTCTTCCCGGAGCCGCTGTTATAGACGTTGACAAGGTCCTCGTGCATTTTCGCAGCAGCCGTTGAGTTTCCGCAGCTCTGCGCGAGCAGCAACACGTCGACCGCGAAGCCCGCGGCCTCCAGCGGCTTCAAGAGGTGCTCGACGTGGCTTCGGGACAGCGCCAGCTGAGCCTTTGCAGCGCCAGCGCTGCAATCTTTGTAGCCGACTTTTGTATTTCTGATCCTGCTTGCTCGGAAAGGAGCCTTCCAGAAAATAATTGCCATGCGCTTACTGTTGAAGCCCTTCGCGCTTCCTGACATGTTGATCTGTGAGCGGGGGTCACACAACTCCTCTTTGGCGTCCACACAGCACTGTTGCGCGTCCTGGCCGGCTGACCAGGCGCCGCTCCGTTGCTGACGGCGGGCGCCGGGTCCTTCTTCTGCGGCGGCGCTTGCACTCCCGAGCGCAGGAAACCCCGCGAGGCAGCAGAGCAGCCGCGGAACAGAAGCAGCAGAGCGACCAGGGCGCGCATCCTGGCCGACGCGTCACTGCGAAGAGCGTATTTATGTGCCAAGGATGGATGTACAGTAAAATTGGAAGTGCTGAGCCAAAACGGCTTGAGCCAAAATGGCTACGGAACGCGTCTTGGGCCGTCTTGGGGCTTTCTCAGAGCGCTCTGGGAGCCTCTTGGGCCGTCGTGGGGCGGTTTTGGGAGCTTCTTGGGCGGTCTTGGAGCGTCGGACACCCGAAAAAGCGAGGACGCTGAAAACATTGAAAAACCAATGGAAGAGAAACAATTCGGCATGTTTTTGGAGCCTCACCAGAGCTACTTAGGGGGCTTCCCGAGGCCCTGTGGAGCTCCCTTGGGGCCTCCTTGGGCCTTCTCGGGGCGGGAGGCTCGTATTTTCAGTTCGTGGCCCCCCTGGGGCCCGACCGTCTTGGGGCGCTCTCAGCGCGCTCTGGGAGCTTCTTGGGCCGTCTTGGAACGGTTTTGGGAGCTTCTTGGGCGGTCTTGGAAAGTGGGAAGCCCGAAAAAGCGAGGACGCTTAAAGCATTGAAAAACCAATGGAAATTCAATGATTTTGTTCTCTCGGGCCCCCTTGGAGAACGGTCTTGGGGCTCTCGCGGAGGGTCTTTAAGGCTACCCGGGTGCTATCCTGGACTGTCTTGGGTGTCTCTGTGGGCTCGCGCCGACCGATTTGGCACTGCCGCCCGCCTGCGTGCACGCCTTGGAAAGGATTTTCGGCCGCCCCCGTGGCACGGATCCGGGGGGTCCCGTTTCGGGGGGGGGGGGTCCGCACCCCCGGAATTATCAAAATATAGAAAAGGGAATCCATATATATATATATATATATATATATATACATATATATATATGTATATACAAGACTGCAGTGGCGCTTCGCGCCATGCACCTTGGTCCTTGAAGTTTGGTATGCAGGCGGCATGGCAGGAAGGGCAAGCTGACAATTTAGCGATAACTCCTGGTTGCCTTTTCCTGCATCGCCGCTATAATGATGTTATTCGTTATCCTTCCTCCATGCTTATTGTTCCTTATTTTCGCCATACCCTGCGCATTCTCCCCATCCTCCTCAGCTCTTTTTTGCGGAGGCTCCTCCTTGGAGAGCCTCTAGGGGCCTCACAAAAGTTGTTTCGGGCTTTCTTAAGGCCTTCTGGAGGCCTCCTGGGCGTATTCTGGGGGCCTCCGGGGGCTTCCTCGGGCCACCCTGCCTCCAACCGCCGTCTCCCTGAACGACCGAATCACGATTTGGAATTATTCGGAGGGTGTCTTTGGGCCATCTTGGGCCGCCATGGGGCTCTCTGAGGGCCATCTTGGACCCGTGTTGTGCCGTTTTGGGGCTCTCTTGGACTGCCCGGAAGCCTTTTCGGATGGTTGTGGGGCGATTTGGGAGCCTCCCAGGCAGCTTCGGACGCCCAGAAGACCGCCGTCTTGGAGCGTCGGGAAGCCGAAAAGAGGAGAACCTCAAAATTCACCCAAAACCCAAAGAGAAAATCAATGATTTTTGCCTCGGGGGGCCTTCTTGGGAGTGCTCTTGGAGGCCTCTTGGGGCCGTCCTGGAGGCCTCCTCGGCCATCTTGAGGTCACGTCGGTCACTCTTGGAGCGCTCTTGTGCTGTCTTGGGGGTCTCTGGGACGTCTCCGATGACCCCCCTGATCGCCCTAAGTGTGCTGGGAAGGCTTGGCAAAACGCCTTGCAAGGCCCAGTGGCCGCTTCGAGGCTCGTCCGGAAGGCCCCAAAACCCCAGGTCCCGGGAGTCCAGTTTTTTCTTGGGGGGGACGGGCTTTCCCCCCGCCCGGGCTTATAGAAATATAGGAAGAGGAATACATATATATATATATATATATATATATTATATATATATATATATATATATATATGTATACATATATACATATATACACACACGCACATACTAGAACCACGCGCGCTTCGCGCGCGCTTAGGTTCTAGCGCAGGCCAAGGAAGAATTACAACATATTGGGATCCTCTACCCTGCTTTCCGCCTCCAAGCGGCCTCCAAAACGGCCCCCAAAAGCACCGAAGAGGTCGGAAGTGAGGGGGTGAGATCGCAGTGGGACGGAGAGCCCCCCACCAGGAAATGGGTTTCGGTTTCGGGTTCGTGTCGTGCGTGCGGGCGAGGCGAAGCTGCTTGGGCTGGCGAGAAGAATAGTTCCGCTGTGGCTAGGGCGGTCTAGGGCGGGTCAAGAGCCGTTGACCGCCCCATCCACCTGATGGTCCACCGTTGGCCAAGGTTGTCCCGCCGTCGTGTCCCGGCGGTTTCCCGTCGGTGTCCCAGTGGTGTCCCGTCGCTGTCCCGTCAGTGTCCCGTCGGTTTCCTGTCGGTGTCCCGTCGGTTCCCCGTCGTTGTCCCGTCGCTGTCCCGTCGTTGTCCCGTCAATGTCGAGTCGGTGTCCCGTGGCGTCCCGTCGGTGTTCTGTGGTGTCCCTCGGTGAAATCGATGATGAAATTGATAGTGAGATCGATTGTGAGATCAATAATGAGATCGGTAGTGAGATCGATATTGGGATCGATCGTGAAACCGGTAGCGAGATCGAAAATGAAGTCGTTCGTGAGATTGTTCAAGGGATCGAAAGTCAGATCGGTGTGAGATATATAGTGACATCGGTAGTGAGATCGATAGTGATATCGGTAGTGATAACGATAGTGGGATCGATAGTGAGATCGATAGTGGTATCGGTAGTGATATCGATAGATGGGCATCGATCTCGCGATCGATAATGACATCGATTGTGAAATCGCTCGAGTGAGGTCGATAGTGAGTTGGATGGTGAGATCGAATGTGAGATCGATAATGGGACCGATAGTGGGATCAATGGGGAGATCGATAGTGCGATCGATGGTTAGATCGATAGTGAGATCGATCGTGAAATCGATAGTAAGATCGATAGTGGTGCCGATAATGAGGTTGTCAGTGATATACATAGTGAGTTCGGTAGTATTATCGATAGTCACATCGATCCAGTGAGATCGATGGTGGCATCGATGGTGAGACAGATCGAGTGAGACGTTGGTTCCTCCCACCACCCCCGAACCTTCCTATCACTCGAAGGGTGGCCGTTTAGGTACATGGTATCGAACGTCCTCGAAGATTTCCCAGGAGGCCGAAATACGCCCCCGAAATGCCAACAAACATGGAACAACTTCAGGGTACCATTATGTTCTCCCTGTCCCACGTGTTTCTCCCATGATGTCCAAATATTACCCAAAACGGCTCTAGAGCCACCGGGCATGCCCAAGCAGCCTGGAGTTGGCCCCTAACGGCTCCAAGATTTCGCCCACATCGCCCAATATTGTCCAAAGAGCCCCCAACACACTCCTAAGATGCCCTCAAGGTGGGCCCAGAGATTGCCAAACATGTCCCAAGAACTGCCCTGGAGGGCCGCTTGTGTTTCCGAAATGCGCATCGTTGCGGATCACTCTGACCACAATGCGCCTCAGCCGAAGGTGCCCGCGGCAGAGGGCACGGCACTCCAGATATCGAGTCCAACGGTGATTGGCACAGAAGAAACCTGAACGGCAACATGCGTCAATCCTTTTTTTCGCCAGCGCTCTCGGCAAGTCGGTCCAGGACAGTCGCGAAGAACAAGTCCCAAGTATATAGCAGCGAAGGTAGAGCCAGGCTCCGCGAAACAAGCGCTCATGGTGGCACGGCACGGGCAAGGGCTTATGCATTGCGGTTTGCGCCCCCGTACACAGACAGTATAAGGCAACGCCGCGAACATGATCGCCTGAAAGAATCTCCAAGCGCAGCTCCGGACGCTCGAAGGGACATAAAAAAACGCGACACCCACTGTTGGGAGCGCCTGCGGAATATGGTAAGAAACAACTCAGAAGACACCTCGCCCGAAATCTGAAATTGCGAGCTGAAAACTTAGCATCGTTGTCCGACGGCTCTGCCTGCAGCAATGGACTGCGCGCAGGCCCTCTCATCGCCATCGCCAGAAGCAAATGTGAATGCACAGCCGTGCGAAAAGAGATGGCGCCATTAGAAGATGAAGTTCTTAGGGGCAATGTTCGGGAGGCTATCGAGCGACACCCAGGAGGAAACAACGCCACTCGCAGTGGACATGGTGCAATGATTCCCATGATGTTTTCCAGGCGCAGATTGCCAGCAGTCTGTCAAGATTGCAAAGCGGCATGATGTGCGGGGTCGAGTGCATGGAGTCGCACAAGGTGGCGCTCGCGTCGATGCTTCCTGTTCCAGGTGAGAGAACCACGAACCAGTGACCGCCGTGAGTGGGAACACGAAATAAGTATGCCAATGTGCGAAATAATGACTCAGGCGACGCGTAATCCGCGAACGGTGTTGACAGGCGTTCCTCAATTTCAGACGGTGGTAGCGGCCAGAGCGCAACCCCGCATTGAACGAAATTGCTGTGCAGGGCTGCCACATCGTAGTTGCTACTTTGAGGGTCGAACAGATTGTTGACTTCGTCTCCCACTCGGGCCTGTGACGCGACAGACTCGAATTCTGACCGGGCGACGGTGCGACCTGGAACTCCGCGCGCCAAGTCGCTAGCGAAGAGCGCGTGGTTGAAAGCGTGGAGGCCGCGCGCGCTACCAATTTGCCTTCGGGCAGGGCTGACAGCCTCCGCGGCGGGAATGTTGAACCAAGGGGGCGCTTGCGGAAATGGCTGCAACGGGGTCGGCGCAGGCAAATCGCCATCAAAATTCAAAGACCAAGTTTGCACAACAGGAGGCTGGGTCGGAAGCCGAGGCCTCTTTGCAGGGCTGGCCTTCTCGGGAATGCAGGACAGGCTTGGCAAGCAAACAGGCGGTTGCAACTGTTGGCGCGCTTCGGAGGCTGTCTGCGAGCCATCTGTTTTCGGCGCTGGAATATTGTTTCCCCTGGTCGCAGAGAAGGTTCTGGCTGGTGGAATGGGATATTTGCCCGGTGCATGCGGCAATGCTCGCAGAAAGGGAGTCGTCGAACGAATCGGGAGTGTGCGGCGCGCGCTCTTGAATCGCGGCTTCCATGGATTTCAATTCAATGGAACTCTCCCTGACGAAAGCCGCACCGCAGGCTGTTTCATATAGGTCTCCGCTCGTGTCGGGACGTGGCGCCGACGCGGGCGCTTCTTGGGGGGGCGCAATTGCAGGTAGAACGTTGGAAGACGGATCGTCGATGCTCGGCGTCGGATGTTCACTCGGAA